TGGAAGGGCAGGGGGTCGGAATGCCATCCATCGGTTTAGGTTGCGCGCGACCATGGGGGGGCATTTCGGCGAGTACCGTACCTTTGATTCTGGTGTTCAGCCAAAGATGTTGTGGACTTGGGACGGGAGCTATAATACTCCATGTGTTGGAAGTCCCCTCCAAAGGCCACCCATGAGAACGAGTTGGATAAAGTACACTATGAGCGAGGATTCACCCTAGCCAACAACAATTGTCATCGCGGTGAGAAAAGATGTGTTCATACGTCAACTAGGGGGGTGAGAGTTGGCCGGGGTTTAGTTGGAGTTGGCTGCCAACCTGCATGGGAGATCAGGATTGACGACGGGGATATAAGCACAGGACTGGAGGGCCCGTTCAACCCCTGTTGACGTGGCCAGGAAGGGAAAGCCAACGGAGTACAGACCAGTATTCCTACAGCACGTTTTTTTGAGTTTCATTGGGCGTGCAGTCTTCATATGTACGACGACCAGTCGTTTTTCAACTCATTAGCTGTTCGAGCGTCGAGTACTACCTGCTATGGAGGGATTGCTTGCAGATGCGGCATTTGCGAGTTTAGGCTGCATTAGAAGCAGCAGTGAGGAAGGTGATCAAGATGAAGGACCTGCCAGGTACGGTTCGTCCGCTGCCCGTGTCCATTGCTACCTCCCGTGTTCATGGAAGGAAGCGTGTGCACCGAAGATAGAGGGTATATCGCGGTTATCAAGGTATGCGTGTTGTTGGCAAGAAGAGTATGCGGGTGAATGATGAGGTGATCAAATAAACCAATCTCACCATTTACCCGCATGCCAGTTGCCTCGTTGGTGCTGGTGCTCGGTTGACGTGCGGTACCTTGGGTTGCCTGAGTTGTCAACTTGGAGAAACTTTCGGACAGATGCGCCACGGAAATTGTCGCAAACCTAACTCTCAAGTTGACCGCACAGCTTCATGCATGGGATACAGAAAATGAAATGAAGGGCGGCAAGTGATGACTACAGTAGTGGGAGACGACAAAAATGAACATTACGTGAGAAATGCAAAAGGATATGCGACAACAGCAGGGTTCGAACCTGCGCATCCGAAGATAATAGATAACGATTGAAGGATCAATTCAAGTCTATCGCCTTGGACCACTCGGCCATGTTGCCATATGCAATTGTTGAGTTTCAGGGTCGACATCAACACTGAAGTACCTAGAATGTAGTGTTAGTGGGGCCCACCAACCGAGTGGAACAGCAGCTTACAGCGTAGTGAACAACGCGAGCGATCGCGACAAAAAGAAGTAATCAGTAGGTGAGCGTACTATGGCGACTTTGAAAACTTTGAAAACTGCAGCAAACCATGCCAGCAACCGGTGAAACATACCGGGCATGGTTGCTTCTCTGGTGGCAGTGGTTGTAACAACTGCCTTTAGCATACTTTTGCTGGCGCAAGAGTCAAAACTTGAAGAGGCATCAACTCCGCCTGCCGAGTCGCCCGGCTCGTGCGGGGGACTCGGGAGTTGAAGGCTTGAAGCACAAAATTGACAAAGGCAACCATGAATGCCCGAGGGATGTGGTTATGAATAGTTCAGGATGGAACATTTCGTCTTGGCGGTAGAGGAGAAGGAGGTTTCCGATATCCATGCAACCTGGGTGGTGGGAATCACCCCCCGGTGCGCGCCGCCGCACAAAATTCGAGCAGAACAATGAGCATGGGGGCCTGGCAGTGCGGCACCTGGTGCGAGCGTAACCCGAGAGGTTGCTCATCCTCATCCACGCGCCCCAGTTTCGGGAGTTCCTAGATAGGGTAACTCGCTGCGTTTCGAGTTGAGGAATCGTAGATCCGTCGTTTGCTGACAACCCGACATCGCTTCTTGGAAGGTAAAGAGGGGGGTTTTCTGACTCTGGCCCCCCTTATTTCATTTGCACAGTTTTGAATGCGTTGGAGGCCATAACTGTATCTGGTTGCATAAGTAAGGTATGTAACGGGAGTTGCGACAGACAACCTAACTCATTGGCGGTTGATTGGCGTAAAGTATCGTGGCCCATGTTAGTGTAAGTTGGCCTGACATAAACATCAGCAATGCGCAGGCTTCTTTTCATAAGAGTTCCGAAGGAACGACGCGCGGAGAAAAGGCGCGAGATAGAAGACAATGTTACGACAAAATGATTGACGGAGAGACCAATAACCGCTCAGGATGATGCGATCTGATGCGCTGATGCAGTGTCAACATGCCCAGAGATCCACCACTGAAGCAATAACATTATTATATTAGTACCGCGGCTTTACACGCTGTTCCAAGGATGCGTGGGGCCGGCCAGCCGATCAAGGTGGACTCGTCATCGTTAATACCAAAGTACCATGCTCATGTCGGGGATTGAGCAACAGGATGGTCGAATTTTGCTCTTGAATGGCATAAGCGATTCCTTCTGTTGATAACGGCAATGGCAGCCGAGGCATAACGGTACCTAGGTGATTGTCTCATAAACCCAAAGGCGAGACTGGTGTAACCCGAATGCGGACGCGTGGGTGATCGCGGGTTGGTGGAGGTGAGTGATGAACAGAGCGAGAGGAAGAAAGACAAAGATAGCCAGACAAGCCGGCCGATTGCCTCAGGTCAGCAGATCATTGTGTTTGGGAAGAGAATTTGTTGCCCTCAACGGCTGGAGTTGCTGCGACCGACCTGCTGATCGGGCACAGTTGCCGTCGGTTGTGCGCGCTCTTGCGTGTGTTGTGTCGTGTCGCATGGCGATTGATTGCAACTTGCGACAGCTTGGCCGGACTTTCCCACCGGGCCCTTCAGGAGTAGTAGAACTGAGAGAAGGATCAGAGTGATGATTGATGAGGGCGAACTAAACTCAAGGTAGGGGTGGGCCGACATGATACGGATACAAGGCAAGAAACGCGCTTGGTGGCAGCTGGCTGGCGCCCAGGTTGTCTTAGGTTGTGCTAGCCCGCCTGGGTTGTTGATAATGTGGAATGAGAAGAGTACTTTTTGCCAAGTACTTTGCGTGTTGTGGTACGTAGACCTAAAGATATTCCTCTCTCACAGTTTAGTTGCACCATGCCGGACGCCTGACACCGATAACCGACATAGAGCACCGATGCCGATGCATGAGTCTGATAGTCCAAGGTCTAAGTACCTTGAAGGGGGTAGTAAGGGGCATTGTTCAGAGATAATCACCAAACGTTGTAGACACATGACGAAAGAGACTCGGAGGGCAGCGCACAAGTACAGTCAGTCACATAAGATAGGTAGTAGTAAATGTGTCCGCAGTGAACTTTGAGCAAAAGCCATTGGCATTCAATTTAGGTTGGGACTCTGCGCGCAGACTGGCAGCTGGACCAACCCGGCCAAGCCAATCCACACCGTGACCAAGCCAAGCGAGTAAGACAGACGTAATCAGAGGGTATACATGGAACGGCAGTACCTTTTCATTACGCCAACTTAGACAATGCAACATGCCAAACGCTCAAGGTGAGGTACATTTGGTCATCCGCGAGAGAGTTTCGCGCGCAAGCGGGGCTCAGCTACGGATACGGTACCACGGGGATTCCAGGGTTTTATCTCACATTTGCCGGCGCAATTGCCAAACAGTCAATCAACTTAGAGATACACCAGCGAGGCGTCAATCAAATTGCTTGGTGGTGGTGGCCCCCCTCCCGAGTGAGAGTCCCCCCCTACTTGAGCCCCGCTCGAGAGACCAAGTCAACCAGTCATCGAAACTCTGGCCACAACTGCGACTGGGGTTGATAGGGAATTACACGAGCCATGGTCACAGCTTGGTTGTACGCTACCTCGTTACGCATACTAGACCCTATCATTTGAAGATGTGCGACCCTGGATAAGGTGTGCCCTGAGCAAGAAGAGTCCGAGACTGTCGTACAGCCCAAGATTCAAATGGTAACTTGGCTGCGGCGCCGAGTGATTCTCCACAAACTGCTTTGAACGACGACTCGTTAGAAATGGTGAGGTGTTTGGTCCATCTGATCTGATGTGATCTGGGCACGCGCAAGCCGAACGTGGACTGAGCAAAGGCGGAAGCAGGACGACGGATGGGAGTCTTTGGGAGCGCGGCGGTGGAGGGAAAGGAGGGAACAACATCCTGGAACGCGCAATCCAGCTTGCCGGGCCTAGAAAAAAAAGGTACTATTGATGCAAATTGCTTGGTACATGACCATGCTGTCCTGACTGGATAGGGTGATGACTACCTTACCTTTCCTCATCCGTCCGTCTCCATTACGGGGGCATTGGCAGTATCATTGGTTTTCTTACAAAGTGTGACCGACAGATGATATGAGCCACGGGCCACTTTTGATCAAAGTACCTTTTGATCACACTCTCTATCGCTGGGCTCTCGCTCTCTCTCTCTCTCTGTCATCTCATGAAAGGCTGAGGCTGCTTGGCCTCCCACTCGATGGGAGCTACTAGAGAACTCACCCAATAAACTGGAACCACCTCCGAAATCACCAAATCTCAGTCGCAACTCTGGTTGGTCTGTTCTCCCTTGGGACAAACTAAAACCTGTGTCTCTCAGTATCCCGCCCGTATCTCTCTCGCCCTTATCCTCCTCCCCATCCATCCATGGCTACTCACTCACTCACCCGCCCACTGGCAGAAAATTCCTCTCATTTGGCAGTAAAACCTTGCCGGGCTTTTTACTGCACCTGGGTGAAGTGAACCCCATTCACACCCCGATCCTCATACCAATCGCTTTGTTTCCTTTCCTTCTGTTGCCCCCTACCCCCTTCCATTTCCCTCCAAAGTTCCCATCCTTTTTTGCTCGTGACACGCCCCCCTCAACTTTACAAACAACACGTCAATAACCAAGGTTCCGACGCGGCCAGGCCACAACAGTAGGTACTTGGGTAAAGTACCTAGCTTAGCTTAGCTTACTGAAATTCACCCTTCCTTGTCCGTGCTGTGCTGGACAGTAGACTACGGGTGTATGCTGTGCCCAACTTTTACATCATCCCACACACGGTCCTCCTTTGGGTCTAATTCCAACACTTTTCTCTTCCTCACCTCACGTACCCTTACACGGCGATAACCCAGTGCCATCAACTTGTATGGCAGGCTGACTTTGATCGACTCGCACATTGATCACTGGTGTTTTCGTCCATCAACAACAGCAGTTCTCTCCGCTAAATACGCCTTCATCTCGTTTAAGGCGCGCCGAATCCTGTTTCCCGCGCCATTCAACTGTCAGCGTCCGTGCTCTGGGACACAAACCTGAGGTACCATTCAGTATTCACCTCACTCTCTCTCTCAGTCTCTGCCTTACTTTACTGCATAAGGTAGCTTTACTTCTCGCCCACCTCTCTCTCTCTCTCAACCTCGACACACCCTGCTTGGACTAGAAATCCTGACTGGGGTGCCTGACGACTGATGACTGGAACTCTCGCCTCATTTGGCTTGGCTTTTTTCTTCTTAGTCTAAACTGGACATAATACGGCGAGACGGTAAAGGCGTGGTGGAATCTACTACCTTGTACACCTCCCACCTCTCATCCACTCATACTCCGTACTCAGCACTCACTCACTCAGTCTCTCTCTCTCACACTCTCACTCTTACTTGACACTCACCTATTCTTTCCTTTCCCCCTTGCGAATACTCCGTACAGATACACACACCTTCCTCCGCCTCAGTCTACACCTCTCCGTCTCCACCTTTCCCGGTCACATTCAATCTTGGCCTCAAACACGAACCGCGTCCACCGATCATTTGGAGCCGTCACTCAACCCAAACCACCGATCCCTCCTCTTAGGCCCTTAGCCTTAGCTCTTGTCTTCTTACAACCACACGTCCCAACACATTTCCATCCAACATCACCTTAGCCGCCAAATTACCCATCAAAGCAAACACTTCCCTTTTTTTTTTATCCAAAGAGCCAACCTGAACCGCGAGTCTTTGTCGCCTGAGTTTTCGACAATTCGGGGGGTTCACTTGATTTGTGGCGACCGCATCAATATTTACCGCCAGACAATCGGCTCGAGTCACCCGGTCGCAACACAAACTCGCGAGAAACCAACCGCGATGGAGACCACCACCGAGGTCGAGACAAAGCAGCCGTCAGTTGCGCCTTCAGAGCCGCAGCAACAGACCCCAGTTGCCGAGACCCCTACAACCACAGAGTAAGTTATCTCTTTGTCTCTTTTACCGCCTCTCTCTCTCTCTATTCTCTGTTATTGCTTGCCTCATTAGAAGTTGTTGCCGCTTGATATTTCCTTCTTCAATTGCTCTCCTGTACAAGAACCACGCGCTATGACCAGTGGTGAAGTCATACACTGGGTCGATTTCGACTTCACCTTGGACTTGGACTTGGACTTGCCTGCGATCCATCACAGCTCTCAACTCAACTTCTTGCTTCATTTTTCTAGTTTGCTGCCCGCACCTACCTTACTTTACCTTCACTTCCCTCTTAGTGTTGTGGCTGCACGGAAACTCCTCTCCTTCCCTCCCTGACACTGCGTCTGACGGCGCTTCTAGCTTCGGTCACTAAGCTAGGTTGTAAGGCCGCCAGAGTTCCCTCTCGTCATTCCCCCTTCCACTACAACCAGCACCGACCCCTCCCTTGATTCAACCGCACCTCTCTTCCCATCAATCAACCAAATCACTTTCCTTCCATCAACTCTTGTGCCTTGTCGCCGGCATACACGGTCTCTTAGATCATCCTTTTTCATTCCACAGCCTCGTTGAGCATTGGTTTCCTTGATTGTGCGCCGCAAATACTCTGTCTTTGTTCTCACCTCCTGCGAAACTCTCAGAATGCCGTTTCGACGAGACTCCCGCCTCAAGAGCACTCCAGAAGAGCCCTCTGTACCCATTAAGGAGGAAAGAAGGTGCGTCGCATTCCATTGAGACTCTCAACTCCCCATCCGATTTCCCTACCTCTTCACTCTCTTCGAGACTCAAAGTTTCAATGTATTTTTGGCACCGCTCAAAGTTCAATCCATGCGCCCGGTTTGCTTGCCTTGGTCAAGAGTGCAACTGGCGAGTTGCCAAGAGGCGCATGTCGAGTCAGGGACAAGTGTTCCCCGATTCATGTACGCATACAACATCCGCTTTGGATGGCTTCCTACCCCTGTTCAACTCGAATCGTCTGCAATTCTTGGTCTTGCGCAATTGCTTCTTTGCCCGGCGATGCTTTCCTTTCTGTCTCTCTCCGAATCAGCTGGGGGTTTCTCAGTTACAGCCACCATGGCCGAGCGTCACCACCTTGGTTGGCAAAGACCTCATCAGGGTTGCAAGTGCACCTATTTGGGCAACCCTGCAACACATCCTGGAATACAGCAAACTCAATTGTGAACAAGCATATACTGATACCAATTACAGGCTCAGCAGTGCCAATGGTGTTAAGCCACCAGCTCTGGATGACGACGACACCGCCAATGACGATGATTTAAGCCCGCCTCCAGAGAACTTGAGCCCTGTCTCAGGCAGCCATGATCGCGCTTTGGAAGATGAGATTGTTGTCGGTAACCGCAATGGCGTGCAAAAGTCATCGCCCCTCCGCGTTGTTTCTGATCCCGAGGATGAGAATATGGCGGATGTGGAGGATGAGCCAGTCGTCTCTCACTACCCTAAGCGGAAGCGCGCATCCGTCTTCAACGACTTGAGTGAAGACAAGATGGAGAGCAGCCTTGTCTCAGAGAAGGAAGGCACGCCACGCGGCACCAAACCAGCTCGTAGGCATGGACTGGGTGGTGTGAAGGGCGTCATTCTCGGATACTGGCGCGATTCACCCGTCCCTGACCCCAGAGGCAAGCATGCAGTTATTGGCTTCATCGATGTCCGCGATCGCCTCCGCACACGCATCCAGCAGAACACCCGCTTCGGCGAGCCGGTATCGAGTCTCGAGTATCCCCTCCCGCCCGGACCAGGTGGCAGCTGGGTGACCTTCGAGCGAGTCGTCTTTGCAGACCACCTGGTTGGTCTGGATCACCACCAAGTGAAGGAATATGTCAAGCTTCGAACGGATTCTATCGAGATGACGGAGGAGGCCCGAGATGCTGCAGAGCAAGCTGCGGCTAAGGAAGCGGTTCGACGTGTCGAGGAAAACCCTCCCCCCGAGAATCCCGTAGCGCCAGCCATCGCATACGGTGCGGAGATTCCCGACCACGCCACAATGCCGGCTCGACCGGACTCCAAACGTCGCCGCACTGGTAGTGGCATCGACACAATCAGTGGAGGACCGGTACAGCAGACGCCGCCAGCACAGAATATCCCGCCGACTCCTCAATTCGACCCTCTGCCAGGCACCAGACCCACACGCATCATTGTGGGCTACTGGAAGGGCTCCAGCGAGCCTGATCCTATCAACAAGCACGCGATCTACGGCATCCTCGGACAAAATGACATGTTCCGCGTCAAGGTGGCGCGAGAGACGCGTGATAAGCGCTTCGTCGATGGCAATTTCCCCGTTGGAGCGGGTGCGCTGTGGATTCACTGGGAGGAGGTTGAGCTAGAGCCTCACATCAAAGTACTGTCTCGCCCCGAGGTAAAGGAGTATTGCCGTGTCCGTCAGTACCAAATCGATCAAGGCGAGAGCCCCAACGAGCGAGTCGAGAATGAGGCCAGGGCAGTGTACGAAGCACAGCAGCGCGTGGCCAATGGCATCAACAAGCCTGGCTACATGAACAATATGGGCCCGCCACCCGCCATTGTTCCACAGCCAGAAGAGATGCTCGAGGCACCCGAGACCAAGGTCGAGGTGAACCCCGAACTGCGCCAGAGCCGCAGAACGGAGAACCGCGGCGTTCGGCACTCATTGCCCGATCTCGACGTCAGACAGTCATCGCGAACCCCGGTGCAAGCGCAGAATAAGATTGACGCTAGTGCACGTCGCGAAATCGCCCGGATCGAGGCCGCCCAGATTCGAACCGAGCGTTTCGCCGCTGATCGCGAAGCTGCTCAGAACGCCCAAGCTGCCCAAGCTGCCCAGGTTGCTCAAGCCGCCCACATGGCCAACTTGGTCCCTCCTCCGATGCCGCCGCAAGCTATGCCTAAGATGCCTTTGCAGAACGGCAACGGCAACGGCCCCCGCATGAGCAGCCTGTTCCACGAGCGCGACGAGATGCAGCGCCTGAACAAGGTATGGGCCAGCCAGGAAGAGCACCGCAGCAAGGTTGGAGGTGAAGAAACCAAGTTTTACGGCGGTATCAAGTACGAACGCAAGACCAACGGTCCCTTTGTCGGCAAACTCGTCTCGCAAGGCACCATTATCAGTATTGACGGAGAGGATTATGTCGAGTATCGTGTACTCACGAAGCCGAGTTTTTTCTAGGCGACCAAGACAGGAAGCAGCACCTCGCGGCTTTGATTGCCTTTTACACTTTCGGTCAACGGGCATTCGCTGAGCGATGGCCGCCAGATTATGGGACTCCTCCTGAGCGTTGAGTCTCAACGAATCTCTCTCTTTCGATACTGGGTTCAACGGATGAAGGCTGAAGGCTGTAGGATTTCCTTTGTTTCTTCCCGCGACAAAATGGATGCGAGGTTTGGCGGAAAACGGGTCTTTCCTATTATACCCCCTCTCAACTTTTTCCGATTAATCAGTTTTTCCTTTTTTCGTCTTTTCGGCGTGGAAAAGCCAGCTCGGTCTCCTTCGTCATCGGCCACGGAGAATTGGCCGAGGAGAGGATTACTATACCATGTTTTCTTTGTTTTGCTTTGCTCTCACGCCCTTCGCAATAACTCACTCATACACCATTGGCTTGCCTAGTTAAGTTGTATGGTGGTGAGAGACATGGATTCGAGGCTTTCTTCCGTTGTGTTTTTCTAATTATCATGATGCCATTGCTAGTCAGAATGGGTACCTCTCAGGCGGAGGTCGGAACTGAGCGGAAAGGGGGGGAAAGCGTGGGACCGATACCAGAATCCGTGGTTGTCAGTAGCTTTCAGATAGCAATCAAATGAATCGTCTAAACGTGTGGAATGTGTGGATATTTGGTTGGTGCTAGAATCAGTCGCAAGACTCATACCGTGGAGTTGGCGATATGCCATCTTTGTTCAAGGTCCCCAATGCAAAATGTAACATCTTCGATTAGTTGAAACCGTTTAGTCTGTCCCAAAGTCACCCTCGTGCGCAATCCCCATTCCTCACTTCTCCTGATCAAAGTCGTAGCTGTTCCCGAATCCCCTCCCCAGATACGTCTTCAAAGCTTCCTCCCTCGTCGTCCAATCCACAGGTATCTCCAAGTCGAGGTCATTATTCTTCCCCGTCTCCCCCTCGAGCAAAGGTCTCACGTCCTCGGCGAACTGCAACCGCATCGGGTTCCGGTACCACCCCGCAAAATGAATCATGGCCAGCATGACGCGCACGTTGGGCGTCGCGTTAGGCATCCCCGCGTGCCACAGCCGCAGGTCGCGGATGACGATGCTCCCCTTTTCCACCGTCGGCTGCGAGGGCGGGCGGACGGCGCGGCGGAGGTCGAGGAGTGGCGGGTTGATGCGGCCGCTTGCGCGGGTGCCGTGTGTGCCTTGCTGGGCTGCTATGCCGGAGGGGACTATGGTGCCGGTGTAGCTTGCGGAGGATGTCGTGGTGGTGGCGTTGGTGGACGAGGAAGAAGATGGAGATGGAGAGGCAGGGAGGAGGTACGGGGCGTGAGTGCCGAGCCAGAGCTCCGTTGAGCCGTTGGAGGGTGTCATTTTCACGAGGGGGATGTTGATTACGAGGGCGAAGGGGTGGGAGGGGTGGGCGAAGTCTGCGTCGGAGTGGACTGGTTGGCGTTGTGATTTTGCGTCTGGTGAGGGCGGCATGGCGGAGTTTGCGGAGCAAAAGGTCCATTTTGGGCGCGGGCCTAGGAGGGAGGAGGTTATTTGCGTTGCTATGGCGTCTATTGCTTTGGCTGTGAGTTCGTTTGTATAGAGATATGAGGAGGATTCGGTGGGCGCGAGATATGGAGAAGGGAATGAACTCAACTTGTAAAGATTGACTTGTAAAAGTACTCGGCTACGGGAGGCGGATCTTGTTGTAGATTGCCCAGGTTATAGTTGAAGGGCCCCTTGTCGCCCAGAGACTGGAGGTAGAGCGCGTCCTGGACCATTTTGGCGTTGAGGGCGTCGAGGTCTGCGTGTGGGACGACGTCGGCGACGACGACGAGGCCGTCTGTGTGGAGGTGGCGGACGGCGAGCTCGAGTTTTCGCGGGGAGAGGCGAGCGTTGAGCAGTTCGGACTGTGAGGGGTGGATCGTTGCTGGTGTTGAGGGGAGGGTTCGGTGGTCGTGGTTGTTTGGTGTAAGTGAGGCCATTGTTCGGCCGGTGAGAGGGAAGCGTAGGCGAGAGGGGAGGTAGGAGGGAGGAAAAGGGACGCGCGGACGGAAGAGCATTATTGGGGATGATGTTACCTTCATGACTGAGAATGGATCATTATGAGCATATGAATACAATGTGCGAACTTGATGAGAGATTCCAGAGATATTCTCATGCATTTATATCTCGAAATGAGGAGGCTTGAGAGGAGGTTCTCTACCCCAATGCCGAGCTCGGGTTTGGATGACAAAACGTGCGTCCCCCATCCACCCCGGACCACCTAGCTACTAGGGTTCCCCAGATTTCCCCCCAAATCCGAGCTCGGGGTACGCTAGCCCACCCCCCTCTACACAGCAAGCTACGACTGGCCATTCCTTGATTAATATCCGTCTCCTCATTCGTTGTCTGCTTGTTTCGGTGGTGGCGGATTCCTCCAATCCGCCTCCAGGTCAGAGACGAGTCGCTGGACGGGCCAACCGATTGTCCGCTTACACGCCAAGAGGCGGCGAATCAGCTCCTGTCGGGAGGCTTCTGTGCGGATGAATCGAGCGCCTGTAAAAGTCTGTCAGGTTGGGAATTTCGGCCATGTAGCAGGAAGTGTTGTCAAAGAAAAAAGATGGAGGGGAAAGGGAAGATATAATCTGTACGTGAGAGACGTACAAAATGCAATGGGGCCAAAGGCGTTCACTTGGACGGAGGGCGTGTCGGCGGTGAAGGCCACGCCGCAAATGTCGAGGGCGAGGTGCTCGAGGATACTTTCTTTCGTGTCCTGGAGATCGAGACGGCCGCCTAGTGTGGTTTGAAGACTTGATAATTGTTGTGGGTTTGCTTCGATACAGAGTATCGTAGTGGCGACGAGCTGATAGTGAAGGGCTGCCGCTAGATTCTTATTCAGTCACGAGACAAGGGTTTTCAGGACATAAAGGCCTACCATGATGATCTCTGAGCAGCCAAATGGATGGCAAGGCGAGGCCCAGACCGCGATCAACCGTGGAAAAGGGTTCAAATCGTGACGGTAGACTTGTACGCCATTCACGTAACAGATGAGAAAGGCTAGACCACGACTCCTTCGTGACGGAGCCTGAGCCTACGAAGCACATATTGATGATGCGACCGAGAATGAGAGTAATGGCATTAAGGTAGTCCTGATCGGTTCTTGGGCCAGTCGCGGGTAGGGCTAGTGGCACCTGAGCTAGATCTATCTTGAGTGGGCATCTGCGGAATAAGCTAAAAGTGATATCCTCACGAAGATAGTTCCAGAAGCCTGCTGCTCGAAGGCTAGACCCAAAGGCGTCAGTTTGAGGGGTATGATAGGCTGCCAGTGAATACGCTCCCTGAAGGTGCCTGTTTGGGTCTACCTCTTCTGGTTTGGTGTCAGTTCATGCAACATCCAAGCCAAAGTGTCTACAAGATGCGTGAGAGTGGTGACCATAAGACGACAGAATCTCACCACTTAGAATCTCATACGACCGCAAAAGACAAACAGAAGCTAGCGCAAGCCCCTGCGTTCGCTCATCATTGTCGTACTCCTCCGCTGTCAGGTCAATCAGCAAGCGAACGCAGTGCCCGTGGTAGAACTCCGCCGCCGCCCTGGCGGACGGCACGGTCGTCCGGCTCGTGTGGACAGCGGACAATGCCAAGATAGCGGCAAAGGGCAGCGGGCTGTCGAGGGCGGCTTCGGGAAGGCTGGTGGCAAAAGTAAGGAGTGCATCGCTGAGGTCGTACCACGGCGCGATATCGGCGATGTAGTGGGAAAAGTAGCGTGCTATGGACGGGTTCTGGAGGGCTTTGCGGGGGCTGGATGGTGACGGGAAGGGAGTTTGCGGTTCGTCTGCTTTGAGGGATGTATGTGAGCGGCTTCAACGTGTGCAGGATCAATGGAGTGAGGTTCGCATAGAAGATACTTACCAGCAGAGTCGGGCTCAGCTGTATCCTCCTGGCTCTTTTTGAGTTGTGGGAGCGGGGCGGTGCGGTCACAGTATCGATGAGCCTTGCGGCAACGTTGGCACGCTGGCAGAGCCTCGTCGCCTGAGTAATCTCGTACTGATCAAAGGAGCTCTTCCCATGGTGTCATGGCGGATATTTGCTTACATTTGACCTTGCGGACGCGGCAGGTGTTGCTAGTAGCACTTGTCAGCACGACGATCGTTCTGTGGGCGGTACTAGTTCTTGTTCTCATCTTTACCATGCTGCGTTGATGTCAGAATTCCGTTCAAGAAGGACGGTTGATGTACGCCACTACGTCAAGAGGGTGTCTCGCCTGCCTGGTTTAGGATACGAGGCATCGCCTTCCGCCCAATTCCTCCGGTCTATCAAGATGGAAAGAAGGTTAGAAACCCAGAAAAAGGCAGTAACCAGACTCAATGGACACCTGCTTACTTTGGCTCAGGTCGTGTGAAAGTCACTGCAGCGCTATGACACAAGTGAGCGGCGCCTGAGACGTACGCGCCGACAAAATCGCAGTGTAAGAAGTGGTGTTAAAGGACGAATTGTCGTCTTTGGGCGAAAATCTCCAATTCCCCGTCTCCATGACAGGACGGCCGGTACCCCGCGCTCGGAGCGGACGGGAGAGTGGGGCGCCGGCGGCGATCCCGTCTCACCCCGGATCGCCGGCAGCCACGTTCCTAAGCACTAGAATCGCCAAGCCCCAAAGATCAGCGTAGAGCTAAAGAGGCATTGCTCTAGCGAGCGGCTTATGACATAATTTCACGGAAATAGAACGTCTTGAAGGATCCGAGGTGAAGAGTGTCATGAGGCAGGACTAGTTTAGTGCCGCCATGATGAGAAACGTTGCATCGAGAATGATGAAGTATGATCCAAATTCAACTCACATATAAACCCAATGATGTTTCCGTGAGGGAAGTTTTCAGTCAGACTCAAACTCAAACACAAAACAACCAACTATCTCACACAGCAGTATTAACCACAACTTTCCTCTTCTCGCTCAGTTATCTCAACAAAATGTTGGCCCATACCCTCATCCAGACGACCCTCCTCGCCGCAGTGGCAACGGCAGCCAGTCTTCCCGTCAGACAAACCACTCCCACCTTCCGTCTCGCCGCAAACGTAACCAACTTCGACCTCACACCCTCCATCCAGGGCCAAGAGCTCACCTACATCTCAACAGCAGACTGCGCAGCCAACGTCGTCTTCGGACCGGCCGGCCAGGGCGCCGAGTTCTACGCCACCGGAAACACGGTCAACGTTGCCCACCTCTCGGGCGATGACTCTTCCCCATCGGCCGGGTTGATCGTCACACCCGGCGGAACGGCGACGGTGCCGAGCTTGAACACCGTACAGCTGCAGTGCGGGGCTGGAACGTCTGGCGTCGGAGTCGTCGATGGCAGTCTTCAGTTTGAGAACGGATTCTGGATGGCGTGTCCCAGAAATGGCAGCGTTGTGCTAAGCTTCAAGAAGGCTGGGCAGAGGACACTTCTTGGATGCGCTGATGTTCAGCTTCTCAGCATCTAGGAAGAACATCTGAAACACTTAGAGATGGGCTGACTGCAATAATTTACGGGTAATACGTGGCGGCTATGGTGAATAAGATTTCGTATGGGTAACACTTGGGTGATCTGCATTTTCTTGGTATATAGACGGGTTGCATAGAAATCAGGGCAAGGCATGAGGGGCATATGATAACTGCATAAGTAGTCTTTTGGTCGTTAGAGTTTGGTATTCTTTAATTCGATCTGCATACCCCAATGCCCTCAAGTTCGCTTCACTCTACCAAGGACCATTCAGTCGATCTGTAATAGTCCAACATTTGATGTACTAATCCATCCCTCAGCCTGCTTGTAACCACCTCATTTGGTGCACAACTCCACAAACTCCGCAATTTCCTTGTTAAACCTCTCAGGCTGCTCATAAAACAACCAATGCCCAGCATCAAAGACAGACGACTTGGCCAAACCCGGCCGGTTCTTCTCCACCCTCCTGACCGTCTCGAGCATCCCCTCAAGCGGGAAACACCCAGACTTCCGCCCCGCCATCACCAACGTCGGCACGCTAATCATCTCAATCGCCTCGCGGTGGTCGTACCGCGTATGATCAGCCAACAACCTCGCAAGCCACGCCTGATCGCACAGCGCGCTGATCCCCGTGAAGAACTCCTCGTCCTTCTTCCTCACCTCGGCAGACACATCGTCCGTCGCCGGGTCGGGCTTCGCGCGGTACCCCAAACACCCGTCCACGAGATCGACGTGCGCCGCCGCCGACTCCTCCATCCAGAACCTCTGCGCGCCGAGCATGCTCTTCTCGTCGTAGCAGCCCGTGTGTGCCAAGCTCTCGTCCCACCCGTCAAACGTGGACCGATCCTGCAGCGGCGCCTGGTCGACGAACACCAACCCCGCGAAATCCGCGCACCCGAAGAGCTCGACGTACGTCCAGAGCACCGCGGCGCCGATGGAGCAGCCGACGGGCACGATCTTGAGGTCGGGCGAGGCGGCGGCGCGCCGGAGGTGGTGGATCAGGTCGCGGAGGTCGGCGGCCAGGCGGGCGACGTGGTAGCCGCCCCTTGTGCGGTCCGACTTGCCGTGGCCGCGCATGTCGGGCGCGACGACCCAGGTATCCTTGGAGGCGAGGGCGTCGGAGTTGCGGTAGAAGTATTCTGAAGAGCCGCTGAAGCCGTGCATGAGGAGGATGCAGCGGGTTGCGGAGGTGGCGCCGGTGAGGGGCAGAGAGGATTGGAAGGCGAGCTTGCAGCCGTCGTTTGCGCCGCAGTGGGCGTAGTGCATGCTTGAAGTCGCCATTTTCGGTGAAAGTGGTGTGAAGCGTTGCGAGACGGTTTGAGAATGAATGAGATATTTTCCCTCCTCGTCAGAAATAGTCGTTGGTGGTGAGTTTGTTTTAAGGGGTCATATTAATTGTTCTAGATTGATAGAACGGCGGGGACGTCATGGCGGGGGGGATGTTTTCTGTTGGTGGGGCCGGTGCGGGGGTTAATCGGCGGCCCGTGATAGCGGCGGCGATCCCCGTCCCCCGCTGCCGATAGCGCCGAAGTCTGACTTTATTTGGACAGTAATTTTTTTCAGGCTTGTTGGGTTTCCTCACAGTTTACAAAATTGTACTTTAAAATTGCACCTGAGTTTTCACAAGTCACGTTCCCTTTCAGAGGCGACTTCAAGGCTGTGACACTAGTACTTGGTCAATAACTCATTTACTTGAGACGTCAGACGTCCCACTTTCACAGCCATTTCTCTGGTTTTAAGCTCCTAGAGAAACGTCTTAGCCCAGCTCATAAGATGATCAAAACTTGTGCCGCCACAGCTGCCATTTCATCAATGTAAGAAAATACGTTGATTTATGTACGAATGTAATATGTATTTCAGAATTTCCGTTTGCTATTCCTGAACTAAAACACAAACAGCCCCTGGTCGTCGGTATGAAGCTTTTTTTCCCACCAGAAAAGAACTTTGTACAACTTTCGCACAACACTCATGTACACAACTCTTTTCCTCCTATGTACCAATTCCACACAGCTCGCCGTCGAATCAAGGGAAGGGGCTGGTTCTAGAAGTCTAGAAACCGTCTCCCCCTCATCTTAGATAGCCCGAGCTCTAAGCTTCATCACCAACAAATGTCAGCGTGCTTTTTTAAGCAGACGGGGTAGAGGTGGGCGGGGCACCCGGGGGAGCACCGGTGGGAAAGGTACCATTGGGAGGAGGGCCACCGGGGCCGTCGCCGCCGCTGCTCTGGTCGACGCCGCCGCCCTCGTAGTAGTGCGCCGCGGCGCGGACCTCGTCGCTGTAGTCGGCCGTGGTGTCGATGCCGATGGTGATCCACATGAGGAGGCCGTCGTTGAGGTCCTCGCCGAGGCGGACGTACTTGAGGAAGGGGTCGTACAGGGCGGTGGCCTCGCCGGCGGCGATGCCGTCCTGGAGGTTGGTCGTGAGGGTCTGGGTGTTGCTGGTGTAGGGGGCCAGGGTCTCGACCTCGGAGATGAGGTCCTGGTCGAAGAAGAGCTGGCCAATGTTGCGGGCGGTGCCGCCCTCGAAGGTGCCGTTGGGGAGGATGGTGGCGCCGTCGGTGGACATGATGTGGATGTGGGTGGCGCGGCCGGTGTAGTGGCCCGGGAAGACGTAGTCGAACTGGACGACGCCGTCCGAGTCGGACTTCTGGACGCCGCGGCCGTGGGTGGTGTTGAGACCGCCCTGGCCCCGGGCGGAGACGCCCGAGTAGACGCCGGTGGCGTTGCAGGCCCAGGCGTCAATGATCTGCTCGGGGACGGCGGTGCAGTCGTTGATGTCGACGAACTGAATGTCGAGGTGGACGGGGACGCCGGCCTGGCCGTCGGTGGTGTCGACGCGGATGAGCTCGCCCTCGACGTAGTAAGGGCCGATGGTGGTCAAGGGGACGAGGGCGCAGGTGGCGTTGGAACCAAAGATCTCCTCAAGAGGGGTGTCGAGGTTGTAGGCCTCGGTGGACTCGTGGTCGACGGCGGCCCACTTGACGAGGTCGGCCTGGGCACGCTTCTGGTGCATCTTCTGGTCGGTGAGGCCACGCTTCTCGCGGAGCATCTGGGCCGTGTTGGCGCGGCGCTCGAGGGCGCGCTGCTTGAGGGCCAGGGCGGCAGGGGAGTTGGAGCAGGCGTCCAGGGCGCGCTTGCCGTGGACGGTGACGACGTCGCGGAGGGCGATCTCTGTGGCAATTTCGTCGGTCGTGTGGCTGCCGTGGGCTGCGACGGTCCCAATGAAGGGGGACAGGGCCAGGGCCGCGGCGAGGGCGGAGCGGAGCGCCATGGTGATGAGTCTCTGGATATTCAAGGACGAGACGACGAGGGGTTGCTGTCGAGTGAAGCAGACCACAGAAGTATCAGGAGCGAGCTGAGAGAAGAGAAGGACTGATGGAGGTGAAGAGCCTGGTGAGAAGAAGGAGAGATATTTCGTCTTTCTGGCAGGAATCTCGACCTCCTCTTATATCATTCATCTTCTTGGCGTTTCCATGATCCATCATGTTTCCTCCTTCCTGATCCTGATGATCCCGTCAACGTCAACATCTTGGCATTGTCACGGCATTGCAACATACCTAGGTACTCTCTCATCCCCTTCATCTGGTCTCGAACAGCAGAGCTAACCCACCGGCCAACACCGTATCCCGGCACGACAAGTCGAGCACGGAGCACGCAAAAGCAACTACATTCCGTACCAAGTAAAGACTCTCGTCTCTCTCTCCGTTTCGTTGGCGTTCCCCACACTCCCGCGCGCGGGCGCCTGGCGAGACATCGTCGTCACCTTCCTTCCCAGAGTCGTTTCGACCGGCGTATGAGGGGCGTGACAATGTCGTTCGGAGCCACTGTATGGTTTAGCCTCAAGCAAGGTACTCTGTAGTTGGGGGGTGTAGTTTGGGATCGAGTTGGTTCTTCCTACTACTCCTCCTCCTCCTTCCCGGAGCGTTTACAAGGATACTACATAGTACCTTACCTTGGAAACCTGGTCGTCCGCCACTCCGCGCGCACCGCGAAGCCAGGGGATTTACACTACTGTGTAAGGTTAATAGCGACTAGAGAGTGGCGGCTTTTCTGCGAGTGACGGGCTAGCAAGCGCGAACGGCCGATGGTCGCAGGGGTTGGGGGGTTATTCGGACGTCCAAGACATGTGTCATCCAATCAAGGCAGAGGCAATTCCAATTGCATTGCGTTGGGTCATTTGGCAAAAACAAAAAACAAAATGTGACGGTCCTGGTTCTCTTCTCCCGTTCCGCAATGTGAGTGTGTGGTTGAAATGTCAAGGTACGGTGGTACGGGGATCGGGGTGTGAGTGGGGTCCTTTGGGAAAACCCCCGGGGAGCGGCGGTTTGGGATGGCGTATCCGGGATGTGGGCAACGGCCGGGAAGTGGTTACGTGGCTCGGCCGAAAACTCCCAGGGCCACAAACAAAAGAACAGTGACACTCCCCTTCTCGACTCCTGCAGATGGAACCAAAGCAACGAACAGGAGGATGGATACGTTTGGATCAAGGAGGAAGGAGGATAGTGCTCCCTTTTTCCCCCATGACGCGGCCCGACACTCTGCCAAGAGATCTCTTGACCAAAGGCGTACAGACGTGCCTGGAGATCCAATTTGGGTGGGTTTCATCTTTCGGAGCTTTGGGGAGGCAAGGCAAAGTCCAGGAATCCAGCGACGCCAGCCTGACCAAGCATACTGCAGTATTAAACGACTACTTCGGGATGGCAGCGATTCCCGGTAGTTATGGTTGTGGAGCCGGCCGTCGATGAGCCTCCGGTGGCATGCAGAAAGGCACCCGCACCTCAAAGCCACTTATGCTTGAATGTTGTCCGCCCCCCTAGCATCAAACCCTTGAAAAGTGGGATTTGCAATCAATGGCGGCCGCGTCATGGGCGAATGAGGACGGCAGTGAATGTAATGAACGACGTTGTATGGCGATGCGGAGACGGCAGCTAGTTCTCCTGGCCTGCCTACCTTGGGCATTAGGTGAATATGGTGGATAATACCCATAGCCTAGATGTACAGTAGTCTGTAATCTGTATGGCTTGCGTGATCGTGATATGGACTCCGTCCGGCCTATCCACAAAAGAGGAATCCGGAAGATGGGCATCGAGGATGGAAAGTGGTAATGGCGTCCGAACCCGTTCAAGCTTATTGGAGATCCCTATCAACGATCCAATGCTCCCCGTTGATCGAAGAGGAGTCAATGCGACTCTGCTCCCCCCTTCCCTTCTCCAGTTCGAACTTTGGACGTGCTTCCAGGCCCAATGACTTCACAGGAGCGGCGAAGCTTCCTTCACCGAAAGTCCACCTTGGAGGATCTAGAGCTCTGGAAGAACCTGGGAACTCGCCCACAATCCACATTGCTTTAACCTCCTTCCAATCTGTGCGGCCGGCCCCAGAAGCCGGCCAGAGATAACCTCGGCCGCCCACCATCTCTGTCCACCTTTTGCCCACCTTTTGGCCGCCCCTCCAAGGCCCAGCCCCCTCTTGGATCGCCTGTTCCTTGACGTGCTTCACATGTCTAAGCAGGCACGATTCCTTCAAACTTGCCCTCGGGAGATATGATGTATTCAAACAAGTGCCTATCGCCCACATCGGTAAGTAAGTACACATCCCGAAGAAAAAAACTTGGCAAAAGACACAAAAGAATTTTGTTGACCACTACGCAGTTCGGCCAACGCCGCTCTCCCTCTCTGTCTTTCTCTCTCTCTCTCTCACTCACTCACACATCACGCAAGCTTCCCAACTACGTACGGATGTCCCGCGCTCAACCCGCCATCGACAGCCCACGCCTGCCCGTTGACGTAGCTGCTCTCGTCGCTCCCCAAGAACAGCGCCACCCGCGCAATCTCGTCGGCGTGCCCGCCGCGCTTCATCGGGTTGATCTGCCCGATCCGACCCGTCGTGCCGCGGGCGCGCGCCTGGTCCCACATCTGCGACGTCATGCCCGTCTCGATGAGGCCCGGGCAGATGGCGTTGACGCGGACGTTCGTGCCGGCCGCCTGGTACGCGCACGTCTGCGCGACGGAGATGACGGCCGCCTTGGCCGCCGAGTACGGCGTCGTGCCGGCGTTGGAGCGGATGCCGGCTACGGATGCGGTGAGGATGACGCTCCCGCCGGGGTTGGGCTTGTCGGCCGAGGTCTTGCGCATGGCGGGGGCGGAGTGCTTGGCGGCGAGGAAGACGCTGTTGTTTTTTTTATTAGCGTAAGAGGAGTCAGAGGCAAGTAAGTACACTCACCTCAACGTATTCGTCCGCAGGTTCTGCATAAAGTCATCCGACGAGATGTCGGTAAACAGGTTATGAGGACCGGTAATACCGGCATTAGCGAAGAAGATGTCCAGCCTGCCGTACGTCCTCATGGCGTGGGCAACGACCTCCTTCACGGCGCTCTCCTCGGCGGCGTCGAACTGGCGGGTGTGGACCTCGACCTTGGGGTACAGCTTATTGAGCTCCTTCTTGTGCGAGGCGAGGTTGTCGTCTGCGTAATCGCAAATGTAGATGGCGCGGGCGCCGTTCTCGGCGAATTGATGTGCTGACGCGCGACCGATGCCCATGAGAGAGTTTGCGCCTGGCTCTCGATTGTCAGTATGTCTGCTGTCGTCCGAGACGTATGTGGGGACATTTTGTGAGACTGTATCCGCGTCCGCCTGCCTTCCGGAGGCTGGGAGGGTTGACTGACCTGTAATGATCACGACCTTGCCAGGTACCCGAGGCGCCGCAGACGGCCCGGCAATCTTGACAGGAGGAGGAGCATCGAGCTGCTTGCCCAGAGCCTGAAGCCGTTCCGACGCCTTGTCCGACATGGTGCTGCTGGTAATGGGGATAACGGGGTTTCGATTGATGGATAAATGAGGTCAATTCAGCCAGGAAAGAACTAATCTACACGAAAGAAGGCGGGCAGCTTATTTGGATATAATGTTCAAATTGCAATGCAAATATGCGGCGCAGGCTGTACAGATATGTTGAAGATTGAATTAACATGCGGAGGAAGAGGACGAGCAGGGAGTGAGAGGAGGAGAAATGACGATGCGGAGGCCGAGGGAGCTCTAGCTTGAACTGGGGACCGAACCGAGGCTCACCGGGGAATTCGAAAGCTCCCCCCAGCTGCCAGGTATATTGGGGGAACAACGTACCCCGCCAAATTGGTGCTGCCGGTGGGGTCTTTTACCCCAGATGTTAGTGGAGGACACAACCCCCGGCCCGGCTCGGCACCACTTCTGCCGCTGTGGGCGGTCCCTTTCTCAAGTCCATCGCTATCTACGCAATCTTTCAAGGTCGCTGTCCTCATTACATTTGATATCCGTACATCATTGCTAGATCATCCCACTTAGACCAGACTGCCAGTAACCGTGGCAGTCAATCAGGAAAGTTTATCGTCGGTTTTCAACAGACCGCTGGAAAGATGCTCCCAATATTTAGTCATCAAAACGAACCGGATTTCGGGTTTTCCCTTGTCGCCGAGCTCGCTCTAACAATCACTTGGCCCCGAACACAGTCCCGCGCTATTTACTCGCAATCAACTGCAAGGCTTTCATGCCAATGTTACTGCTCCTCCTATCACCGGTAGCCTGACAGAGCCTCAACATCAAGCAATAGATTGGATAGTCACGACCTTCGGCTGCTCCATCAGTGTACGGGGCAATGCTTCATTTACATAATTCTACAAACGAAAATAATACACTCAATCGAGTGGCCGCACTTTACAGAGTCCAGGCGCTGCCGTACCCGTTAAAGTAGAGAACGGTCCGTTTGCATCGCTGTGATGGGGAGTTCAAACCCCAACAGAGTCGGTCTTGCCCTCCCCTTACTCGATAGCCAACCCAATCTATATCCGACGCCGACGCCCTATTTTACGAAGGCGTATCAAAGCCCCAGGTGAGGGGAGAGTGTTGTTCGTGCGCGCAGCGGATCTGACGAGAAACCATGCTGCTTTTCTTCGCCTTTGGCCAACAGCATGTTGACCAAGCTGTGTTGGCCAAAGCCAGGTCTGTCTCGTTTTTCCTGGCTATCCTTCAAAGGCAAATGAAATCGCAAATTCTTTGAATCTCTGGTAAACGCCTGCCATGCTGTACCGTTAAAGTGATACATTGTAAATCCATGCGAGTGCCCTCCCAACGGGCCGCGACTCGGCTCTCGCACTTCCGCATGCTAACCGTAAGAACAAAATGTGTTGATGATGGTTCTGACCAGAGTCACGTACGGTAAGCTCCGGTCATGACTTCTGGTTAGATCCAGGAGCGACGCCACCCGTAGAAGTCGCGGGTGGCGGTGGCGCCGGCGGAGGCGTAGCGGGTCCGGCAGGAGGAGGGAACGGCGGGGGAATCGTCTGACCGATATCAACGCCCGAGCTTGCAGGCACCTTCATAGGGCCTTGAGGCATGGGCGTGCGGTCAGGAAGTTTCTCGCCGCGAATGACCTTTTCTACCTCGTTCTTGTCCAGCGTCTCGTACTCGACGAGAGCCTTGGCCAGGAGATCGAGCTCCTTGCGCCTTGATGTGAGCAGCTCGCGCACCTTCTCGTATGACTCCGTCAAGGTACGCTGCACTTCGGACTCGATGAGAGCCTTGGTCTCTGAGCTGAGCTGGTTGTAGCGCTCGCCGTACTCCACGGGGCCGAGCTTGGCAGACATGCCGTACAGAGCGACCATCTGGAAAGCCAGGTTTGTGGCATTCTTGAGATCCTGTTTACTGTTAGTGCCAATCCTACGCATCAACGTCGAGGTTAACTTACGCTTGAGACACCGGTGGTCACCTTGTCGGTGCCATAGACCAGCTCTTCCGCAAGCTTTCCGCCCAGAGAAGTCTCAATCAGACTCTTGAGGTCCCTCGTCGTGTACGAATACTTGTCCATCTCAGGCAGGTGTGCAGTGTGTCCGAGACTCTGGCCGCGAGGCAGGATGGTAACCTTGTAAAGCTTGTTGGGACCGCTCTCGTGGTAGAAAGACACCAAGGCGTGACCGGCCTCATGATAAGCAGTCATTTCCTTCTCCTTCTGGCTGATGACCATGCTCTTCTTCTCCGCACCCATGATGACCTTGTCCTTGGCCCACTCGAAATCCGTCATGGAGACGGCAGCATTCTTGAGCCTGCTGGCGCGGACGGCAGCCTGGTTCACAATGTTCTCGAGCTCGGCACCAGAGAGACCGCCAGTGCTGGAAGCAATGGCCTCAAAGTTGATCTCGGGGGCGGCCTTGATCTTCTTGGCATGGTACTTGAGGATCTCAATACGGCCGCGGACATCGGGCAGGGGAACGGTAACGTGGCGGTCAAAACGTCCAGGTCGGGTCAGAGCCTTGTCGAGAAGTTCCGGGAAGTTGGTAGCAGCGATAATGACGACACCGCTGTTCTGCTCGAAACCGTCCAATTCCGTCAAGAGCTGGTTGAGCGTCTGTTTGTGGTAGGCAGCATCCCTAGTGTTGCGGCGTCCACCAATGGCGTCGAGCTCGTCGATGAAGATGATGGCGGGAGACTTGGACTTGGCGGAAGCAAAGAGATCGCGGACACGCTTGGCACCGACACCAACGTAGACCTCGTCGAACTCACTGCCAGACATGTAGAAGAAGGGGACGCCAGCTTCACCGGCAACGGCGCGAGCCAAGAGAGTTTTACCAGTACCGGGGGGTCCAACCATTAGAATACCCTTGGGAAGCTTGCCGCCGAGGGTGGAGAACTTGTCGGGGTTGCGGAGGAAGTCGACCAGCTCCTGAAGCTCATCCTTGGCCTCGTCGGCGCCGTGTACGTCTGCGAAACGGGTTGTCTGGTTCTCGGCCTTGGCCTCGCTGTCCACTTTGCCGCCGGGTCGCTTGAAGAGGTTGAGACCCTCGACCAGCATCGTGACGACGACCAAGCTGAGATACGTGAAGAGACAGAACCACAAGACGAACTTGACCCAGCGGAAGATGACGCCGCCAAATGACTCGTCTACAACGACGTGCAGCGGGCTAGTCGGGAGGCCATTGCCCTGGACCTTTGCGGTAGCCATGTTCGAATCGCGCGACCTCGCAGCCAGAGCCTGGCCAACAGCTTGCAGCTGCGCCTGGCTAAGGTTCCCGGGGGACTGCTGGTTCAGCTCCTGGCCGCCGAGCGTGCCGACATTGCCAAAGGCGGAGGGCAGGTGATCGTGGCCACCCATCCCGCCGACGGCGCCGGTGCTCTGCATGCCAATCGCCTGCGCATATGCCTGATCCACCGCATCGTTTCTCGCGAACCGGCCAGAGTTGTAGCGCTCGATGACGATGGCGGGCATGTTGGCCTTGAGGAGGAGCTGGTAGAATGCGTTCTGCGCGGTCGCGCTGCCGGGGTTCCTGTTCGCTGCCGACTCCCTCGTGGCGAGAAGATTGCGCGAGATGGCATTGTTGGTTCCAAAGAGTCTGTACTGATATTGTTGTTGCTGAAGCTGGAGTGCAAGGCCCAGGCCGGGGGTCCGAGTGAAGGCGGTGGCAGTCGGGCGAGCGGAGGAGGTCGCGAGCCGGAAAATGGATTGCATTGTCGCGGGCTGCATCGTTGCCCGTCGGAGCAGTGGGCTGGTCGCGCTCAGCGCCAGCGCTGCTGGGCGTAAGGCCATGGTGCCTTTGGGGAAGCCGGGAAGGCGCGGTGTAGGCTGGAGCGCGTATTCGTCAGAGCAGATGGTTTGCTTGATGCCGAGTTGGTGATGGTAACAAAGGGTTCTGCAGAGGGGAAATCCCCTTACGAGAACGAAAAGGGGAAAAGGGAAAGAAAAGAAAAGGCTTCTTCAGTAACTATCGACGTCGTATGTGCAAGTGTGATGAAGATGACATGATTCGTGCCGAGGGTTGACTCGTCGTCTTGTTGAGAGCGGCGACGGGGCGGCGGGATATGGATACGTTGAGGCGAAATGCGCTGCGGATACCTTAGCTGACGTTATTCATTGACCACGACATTGCGGTGCTGCCTTCCGAGTTTTTCCCTGCCGAAGCGCCGCGACCGGGGAAAGCAGCAAGGCCCAGCTCCATGCCCCACGTGACGTCGATGAGATTCTAGAATGTCGCGACTTGTCGGTGCCAGAGAAAGACCGATCCGGCGAATGATGACAAAGCCTTTGGGGTTCATTGGAGACGAGCAGGGGCATAATTCGACCTCATGTCATTGGTTAATAATCAGAAATTCAACTACACCAGTTTCCTCTCTCAGCATCGAAGGTGATCGTAGTTTGACCTCGAGTTGACCGAAATTCTAGTATCCATGTTTCATTATTTCTGGGTTCAACATCTGATCCAATCTAGGAAAGACTTTCCGTCTCTCGCGAATTTGCGGTGCGAAGTCACCTCTGTCAGTACATGCTCTCCCAGGACGTCAAGAAAACGCAATCTGATTGGCCAAAAAGCAACAAACCAATCATAAAATTCCCTCGGTCTCCCCATTCAGACCCCCAGAAACACATCGCCAGAAGCAGCTGGCTGAGGAATGGAAATGGATGCATTCTTCCGCATGCAGAGCAAATAAATGCAGATCAATTTTTGGATTAAGCGCCCTTTCCCCATGATTTGGTAACTGTAAACGCCCTCCTTCTTCTCCCATTTCCCTCATTCCCATCATCCATCCGCAATCCTCCCTCTCTTCCTCCGTTCTTCTTCTGCTTCCCTTCTCAACGAAGTCGGGTCTCGAAATCTGCGTCAGCACCGTCCACCGATTTCTCACATCAGCAGCACCGGGCGAAAAAACAAACTCACGAGGCTGCGGCGATCTCTCATATTCTCACAACTGATATGAGCATCACTGGGTAGCGCGGATATCCCGAAGATCAGCGCATCTCACGAGCGGATCATCCGGGCTCAAACTTTCTATACTACGTAGAGCAACCCAGTTATACCTTTACAAACCTCCAGGTCTTCCTTCGTCTTTCGAGAATCCAACACTTCGTCGCCAGTCACACAGGACGATAAGTCGATACTCTCTCCTCGACGACTCAACCACCTCCACGAATGTCGCCCAACGTACCTTGAGGAAAAAAGCCACGGAATGCCAAGAAGAAACATCTATCTAGCTCAGCTCAGCTCAGCTCTCATCTCCTCAGATGATCTGCATGTCCAGCTACCAGAATAGCCCCGTCCTGTCCTCCCAAGCGCACGACTTACAACGCCATCTCTTATCACCACCCTCACGCATCTCATCTCATCTCACCTTATCCGACCGAATTTCCCCATTCAGGCTGCAAACACTTTACCCATCGGAACCAAAGAAACTCAATACCACCACCAACATCAACACCGACAAATACGAACAATCATGCAGACACCCCTTGGACTAACGCAGACGCTTCTGCAAGGCAACGTGTCACCGGTTCAACAGCTAAGCAACTTTCAAAGTTTTGACTTACACAGGCTAAGAGCCCATCAGCCCGTCTTCTGGTCATGCGTCCCCCTTCTTAGCCTTGGCCGAGCCTTTTCGCCCTGTTCTCATCTCGCTCACTCATAATCATATAAAGAGTCGAGTTAGGCCGCAAGAGTTTGATTAACAAAGTCTTTATTTCTTTCCGTTCTGACTAACCAGGTATCAATTCCCAAAGCTATCCCATTTGTTTCCCATTTCTCCTTTGAATCCAGCACACAATACACAAGGGGGGGAAACACGTAAAATTACATATGCACAACGACTTGTCATCCCCTATTCCTCCTCATGGCCCCCCATTTCCTCCTTTTCCCGGTTGTTCCCTCTTCGTCAACCCTTCCCCTGAGGAATCTTTTCTAGGAAATGCGCCGCCCACCACCAGACAGTGAAATCGTCGACTTCGTGCTGTTATTGTTACAGGGAATGTTTTTGTTTTCCGGGTCGCGCCGTAAGGCCTTGAGAAAAAGCAACGGAGAAATTCCAAAGCTGCCAAACCCGACCGAGCCTTCCGTGTATCAGGCATCGTATGACGGTCCCCTTTCTTTCCCTTTTACCCTAAACCTCCATCCATCCTCATTATTGTCCTTCTCCTCCCATCCTCATGCGATTTCCCCCCTCTCCACCAAGGTCGTAAAAGGGCCGTCAAGATTCGGATATCGTCAAATGATCCCCAACATGCCAGTGGCTTTCCCCCATCCGCCCGACCGGCTCCGGCTGTTATGCTTTCGTTGCATCATATCATCGGGAACGTGTTCAGTCGACATGGTCGATGAACGTCCCGATGAGAAAGGAGTGAAAGAACTGGAAAAGAAAGTATTAAATAAGACAGCACAAACCGCCGTACCAAGCTCCAAAAACCCCACGAGTACCCGACCAACTAAAGACGAAATTATAAACTCGAAGCGACAGAAAGACCACCAATGATATATTCTGGATGAAAACAGATGCAAATATTCCAAGTCGACGGGGTAATAGTATGTGCTTGACAAAGAAAATGGTGCCCGAAGGCGAAGGGCCACGGTGTGAATCGAGGCGGGAGAAGCGACAGATCCGGCGATCGTCTCTTATCGACAAATTTGACGATTACAAACGGCATTGCAAAGTATGCCTGCAGTGGGTTGTGTGTGAGTGTTGAAACCCAGAAAACAAAGTACCGACTTGATGTATGCTTTTGGGGGATTGATTTGACATTTTCTGTTCCTTGTATTCCTCTTCGTCTGGATCCCTTTTGGCCCGATGAGATTGCCCCAAGGGAGGGATGACAGGCGTGGCGAGGCACTGGGCCTAAAGGCATCCAAAAGGCTCAACCTCTTCTTTTCAACAATCGACAGCTCGGTTCTGTGGAGCCCGCGTGGTATCTCCTTCTTTTTCAATCAACGAGGTGGGGGAATATGTTAAAATCAAATCGACGTCAAAATTTCCGGTGGTGGTACAGCAAGCGGCGCCTAAGGCGAGGCACCGATGGAAATGATGATTTGGTATCGGTAGGCACGGATGCCTGGCGTGGCGGAAGCCATCATCGAATGGCGTCTGGCTCTTACATGTTCTCGATCCGTGCGGACGGGAGCTGCATTGAGGGATCCTCGAACTCGATCTTGGGACCGCCCCAAGGGTCGTACACGCCGGAGCCGTAGGTCGGCAGCTGGCCGATTGTCGCAACCTCGACCGGTGCCTGGTACGGAACGCCGTTCCAGTACTCTTCGGGTTGGGCCTGGGGTGTCGGTGAGGCGTATTGGCTGACTTGCTGAGGCGGAGGCTGCGGTGCCTGAGTCGGGATCGGTTGGGGAGTATGGATCTGCTGTTGCATCTGCTGGTGCGGGTACGCGACCATGCCGGCTTGCTGTTGCTCGAGGACGGGGGAGGCATGATGCAGGGCATATGTGGCTGCTTGGGTTGGCTGGTGAGTATAAAACCCTTCCTGAATGGATGGGCTCCTACCCGATGCTGCCGAGAAGCTGCTCGGGCTGCTTTGGATGGATTGGTTCATACCAGGTTGAGAGTACGGCACATCAACCTGCGGCTGTTGTTGCCGGGGCACCTGTCCGTACTGTTGGGGCATGGCCGTGTTCATGGTAGCGACACCCGGATTGCCCTGCTCCGTCACGTAGTACGAGTGCTGGCCCATGCTGGCGGTTCGCTGCAGCATGTGTACACCAGGGTGTTGCTGGTCGTGGACCATACCGTGGACCTCGTGTGCTCCGCCGGAAGAAAGGCTGTGGCGGTGCGCGCCGTAGTGTTGCTGTTGCTGCTGCTGGGGCATCGGGTAACCGTTCATGTGCTGACCGAAGTCGGCGAATGAGGCAGCTCGGTGCATTGCATGACCCATACCGGGGTGGTTCATGGCCATAACGCCTTGAGGAGGCCATTGCATGCCGGCGTGCTTCGGGGTCGAAGGAGACTCGCCACTGTCGGAGTCTGATGTGCAGTCGTCCAAGAGCTCGTTGGGGTGAAGGCCGCGCTGGTGAGATCTCCTCTGGTGCTTAACCATCGTGGTCTTGCGGCAGAAGCTGTTCAGTTGGTTAGTGTCAACTCCGTCAAGTGAAGGGAAAGCCTGGTGGCTCGAGATCTACCTCTTCAGGCAGCCATCGTGGGCGCACTTGTAAGGGCGCTTGCCAGTGTGAATACGGCGATGTCTGGCCAAACTCGAAGACTTCTGAGGTTAGTGCCTGTTGGGATATGCCGCTGTCAGAGGGGGATCATACATCAGAGAATCGCTTGCCGCAACCAATATGCTGGCATTGATGAGGCTTCTCTCCCGTGTGAGTACGGATGTGGACAGTCAGAGCACTCCGTTGGATGAAGCTCTTGCCACAGCCGGGCGTTGTGCAGGAGTAGGGACGCTCGTTGGTGTGAATGCGGTAGTGTCTCTGCAAATCGGACTTCCTGTTGAAGCTCTACAAGATGTCAAGGTTAGATCCGTCCATGTCACACCACAGCCGTAGCCGAGTGGCCGCGTGTTTCTGAGCTCACCTTGTTGCACGACTGCCAGTCGCACTGGAAGGGGCGAGCAGTGGGCTCGTTCTCGACAAGCTCCATGAGTTCCATTTCTTTGGGTTTTGTTTGGGTGTTGATCAGGATTACCAAGATGCGGACCGGTGCAGTAGCTGTACTACTTATATACTTCCGCGGTAAAGGATATTAAAGGATGTCTTGAATTATCGGGTGATGAAGGACTAGGCTGATATGGTGTCCGGAGCAGAAGAAGCAAGGGTAGCGTGGGTTGATGTGTGCAATATGTTATCCTGGTTCGGAACGTTGCTTAAGCGGGATGCTCAATGCGGGTTCTCTGTATGCAGACTCCCGAATCGTCGTTCAAGGAATGACGAGTTGGGACAAGAAGGCAAGGGTGGTGAATGTGTGCCGAGAAGTAGGAGGTCGACGACTTGAGACAAGAACGGGTGCGGCGTCCAGCGCAAGGTTGCCGAAGATGAGCAGTGTTCGAAGCGTTGAAGACGACGGTGCGTTCAAGAACGTTGAACAATGGAAGAGGAGGGTGGACGGATGGTGTTTAAGAGAGAAGAAGATGAGGAGGAAGAAGAGGCCTGAGCTTGGTTGGGGGTGTTGGTATTAATCAGGCGTGGTGGCTGTGACGGGGGAAGCTGACACTCCTCTTGAGGTTGAGGGAAAGAGATGGAGATTAAGGTGTGTGAGAAGGAGAGTAAGGTATAGTAGTATGAGAGAGGAAGGGGAGTGAAGCTGGTGGGAAACGATCAGCTCAAGATAACCCAAGGTACGACGAACTGATGAAGGCCAGGAGGTAGAATGAGTTCATAGCGGGTGGGAGTAGCCTTCTTTAAGACAGCCACAAGTGTGGACGTACCAGAAGGTGGGAGGGTCCTGGTGCACAGGCACTAAAATTCTCCGTCTTCGATGAAAATTAGCCACCTGACTGGAGGATCTGTTGCGAGTGGTCGAGCGCAAACTGGTGGGAAGTGCTGATGTTGCTTGCAGGACAATCCCTTCTTCGGGCGGCGGATGAGATAAGAAGGGTGAACCAAGTTCGGGCTGGCTTGCCGTGTATTTTGTTTCGAAGTCCAAGTGTCGAGGGCCGGCGTGTGTTAAGTTTCCGAGACTAGAAGCATAATGGTGACCACCAGGAACAATGCGATCGTCGAACCTCTGAGCGCTCAGGTACGGGAGACCAAGCGGATCTTGGACGACTGGCGTCGTTTTCTTGCTTGCTTGAGGGGTGTCTGGATGACAAGAAACAGACTCGAGTCTTCTACCGGCAGCTTCCTTGCTTCTATTTTCTCGTCTGGCTTCTCTTCAAAGACTCGCGCAGAAGTGTGCACAGAGCTCTTGATGGTCTCCGAAGGTGAAGAGGATCCACTGCAAGATGGTCTAGACAGACGGACCGCGAGAATCACCCAAGTGGGGGGCCGAAGGAAGGTACTAGGAAGGACGTCTGAGGCTCTTCTCTCGCTATTCTCGTGGTGTGTGGTGAGGCTACTTTGGGAGATGCCAGGATGTTGCAAGTGTCGACGACGGTGAGCCGGGAATGGAGAAACCTTGGTGTCTGTGGTGAGAGTCGAGTAGTGTGTGTCGTGGTGGAGAATTGGCAAGTGAACGACAGATTTGGTGTTTTTGTTATTTGTTGTTTAGTCGACTTATGAAGGATGACGACGGTGATGATACGGTGTTGTTGGTTTGGATGTAGTTTATCCTCAGGAACGACAAGGACGAGTGGGATATGCCCGGCACAAGACGAGTCCAAACGCAACAGCGTACTTTGGCTGAAGAAACGAAACAATGTGGGAAGTTGAGATGAGGTGCAGTTGCGTGCGTGTCGTTGGTGTATGTGAGAGGTCGTGGCGCTATGTTATACTACAAGGGGCAGAGGGGAGACGATCGCAGGCAGGCCAGTCCAAGATTATCGTGGAGGCGTTGCTTTATGAGCGAAAGACGTGAGGCGTCTGATGAAGGTATATATTATCGGCAGCAATATAGCATTGCATTCAAAAAGAAGTGGTGCTTCTCTGCTCTGCTGGAGCGGGCAGGTTGCTCTTCCAGGGGCCCCTGGAACGAGGTATGGATTCTGAGCAGGGGGATAGGGGAGCTGTGGAGGCGTGGAGTGAGGTACGCTCCTAGGTACCTGAGGTAGTACCGATTGGGCCCTTTCTTATTTTCGACAGTGCAGACGGGTACCAGAGAGGAGAGGCAAGGCAGGGGTACCGGTAGGGTAGGGTAGGGTAGTGGGAGTGAGGGAGGAGGAGAGAGGAGGAGTACCAGGAGGAGGAGGGTAAGGGTAAGGTAGGTCGAGTGACTTTTGGCATGTACCGTAACCGGCGTCGTCCTCGCCGGCGGGTCTTGGTGTGGGAGACGCTCGAGCGCTGGCAGGCCAGGTAGGGCCGGCTGGTTTTGCTACAGAAATTGATTAGATCAACCGAGAGGAGAAACCACGCGCCAGACTTAGATGGCGGACGGCCCTGCGGGCGTGGCGATCCTTAGAACGGGGGAGTAGATAGTCGTTCTGTGCGTCAAGTCGCAGACGTTCAAAACGGAATAGCCTCGATATAAATATATTATACGTTTTTCTCTGGCTGACTGTCCGGAGAATGGGACAGAAGGAGTAGTAGAATTTGAAAGGAATAGACGTTTGTTGGCGGGCTTGTATTGGGTGAAGGGGAAATTTGAGTTGAGGGGAATGACTGAGTGAGAGAGAGAGAGAGAGAAACTGCAAGCGCACAAACACACACCCGCAGGTTGAATGATGTCTACTTTTGCTGTTGCTGATGCTGTTCGCTGGCTATATGCCGGGACCGAGAAGTCCGCACAACCCCAGTGTCCGAGCAAGTTCAACTGCACCTGGGGGCAAGGAGGCGGGAAAACGGGTGATGAGTGGGAGTGATATCCGTAGGCCAATGGACCCTCAAGATGTACACAGCTCGAGAAGCATTCAAGAAGAAACAAGGCCCCAATGTGACGAGTCGAGGTGGCAGAGTAATGATGAGACGCTCTAGGTATGCCGGTAACAAGGGCCTCTAGTTTCTACTCTCCTCTCAGATCGCCTGTCCGTGGAGGTAACCGTTGGCAAGGTGTATGAGAAGAGGGGATAAGTTTGCTTTATGTTGCAAAGAAGGAAGAGAGATCTGATACAAAAGAAAAAGGAGAGAGACGGGTATGGTACTGTACGTAGATACTGCACTGTACGGTATACCAGCACCAGAAGGAATGAACAAAAAATAAAAACTTGTTGGTGATGACTTTTGGTGAGGGGGACCCTGGGAAAGCGGTGCTGGTTTGGATGGAGAATGAGCAGGGCTGAGGTGACGGTTGGGGAGCGCGTCTGTGAAGTGAGGACGAGCGGTGTTGAAGATGAGATGTGAGGAGCGTTTCTTTTTCCACGACGTCTCTCTGCTGCTGCTGCGTCGCCGGCGCTGGGTTGCTCTAGTGGTGGGAGTGGTTGTGGTGGAGGTTCCGCAAGCCACGGCCGCAATTCCCTAACGAACGGACAAACTCGGGTGTCTGTCCTCTCGGCAAGGAAGCACAGTCGCTGGGGAGAAAGCTTCGAAGAAACTGCCAGCAAGAGGTCCCAAAAAGGTGGGATAACGCGGAGGGGGGCCGAGAGAGAGTGTGTGTGCGTGTGTATGTGTATGTGTGAGGAGATCTCGAAAAGCTCCAGCCAAGTCCGGGTACAAGATGAAGAACAAGGTTGTTTAACGTGTTGGAGAATCAAAAGAAGGTGTGTGTGCTGTGTGATGTGTGTGATGGCGTCGACGTAGATGGCGATATGATGTGCACACAGACAATCGGGCCCCAGATGTCGACAGCAGTCAAGCGATTTGCAAAGGACAGACGATTGACGCAAGGTATGACTGGACTGCCGGTGATGGAGGGTGGGTTGAGGTTTTTTCTTAGCGGGCGTAAATGTGCGTGATGGCAGACTGCATGCTCCCAAAAAGACGCGAGAAAACCACAATGAGAAGACGATGTGCCCCCCTGTCCAAACGGTAGGCGTAGAGAAAAGAGTGAGTCGAGGTAACGTCGAGAATGTAGTAACCGAAACCACACGAGAAACCGGGAACAGCAAAAGAGTGTGATGGCGAGTGAAGAGACGGGCAAGGCGAAGAGGCAAGGGTTGGTTCAAACAGCAGCGGCAGCAGCAGAAGAGGATGAAGAAGAAGAAAAAAGATCAAGACGACGTATCCGTAGAGTCAATCACAATATCACAATTCAGCAAGAGGCTTTTTGCCTTCCCGCGGCCGACATGGCGGTTGCGGCTTTGATTACCGTTGCGCGGGCAGCCGGCGGGGCGGGATTTTTCTTTTACAACAAAGAAAGTGAGCCCCAACGTTGCGGTTGTTTCCTTTCCTTTGTGTGTATGAGGATGTGGTTGTTGATCCTGCCACACCAGAGAGAAAAGCAGGAGGTAGGGCAAGAAAAGAACCACACACATCTAGACTAGCCGTCGCAGTTGCTGAGCCAAAAACGCTACTGTGGCAGTAGCAGAGGCAACGGTGATGGATGGGACGGCGCGGCCGTCGCATGAGAGACGAGAGATGGAGAGAGACAGAGAGAGAGAAGCTGCTAACCCTTGATCCAACAACAAAAGTCCATAGTTAGACTACGGAGTACACGACTACGTTCACGGGCTGCCAGTCGAACGTTTGATCGAGGACGCGAATGGAGTGTAATGAAGCAAGCGAAGCGAAGCGACGGTGTAAGTGGTGCTCAACTCAAGGTAGTATGCGGAGAGAGCGTCTTCTCATTGGTGTCGTGAAATGCATGGTCAGAACGATTGACTACGACGAAAAGGTAGCCTTGCATCGCTTCCAGTCCGTCCCGGTCTGGCTTTCTCTTGTCTCCAAATGAACGTCGTCCTCTGCGATTTTCCTGGCCCATTTGGTGGAGATGGGCACGATACCTGGGAATATACACAGGATGTTGAATTCGTGGCTTTCAAGGCTAGACTGAGACCGAAGGCGTTTGGTTCTCTCGGCGTACCTTGGCTGAGCCAGTCTCTTTTCCCTCTCTCTCTCCCTCTCTCAAAAATAAAGTACAGAAAATGGCAATCCGGCGATGCAGCCCGACTTGCCGTGGCCGTTCAACAACGTCAGAGACTTATCCCCACAACTGCCAACCATGCTGAGGTCGCTGCCTCATTGGGGTGTGTATACAGATACCCATGGAGCGCGGAGTTACGGATACTCTGCACAGAAACTCTCCCACTTTCTCTCCGTGCCTAATAAACATCAAATGGATTGAGGTGAAAAAAAAAACTGACAGTATGTATCCGTACCCGTACCAACGTCCTTATCCCGCCCACTCGGTCGCAACCTTGCTCCATAAGAACGTCGTAATGGTGAGCAGCAAGACCTCGCCCAAGTGCAAGGGGTGGACGAGAAAACCCCCACAAGTCGTTTCTTGAGTGAGCAGAAAGAAAATCCCAAGCGAGGAGATACCAAGATACGGATACAGGCGTGGAGAGCAGGAGTGAGTCCTGGCTGAATGGGGGCGGAAAGCTGATAACTCACTTTTTACCTCACGCAGGCAGACTGGAGTCTTGTCCCACGCCGTTGTCTCCTGTTATTCTTCTTTTTTCGTAGTCGTCGTCGTCGTCGTCGTTTCTCGAAAGGCGAGGTACAGCAGGTCAACAGGCACAGGGTTCAGGCCCAGGCCCCCCCAGGAGTGGTATGAGCGGGCGAGGAGACAGGGCAAGACAGGACAGTGGGAAACGTTCAATAGGTACTTGCAAGCCTGCAGAGCTTGCTCTCCCCCTGTCTGCTTCTTGTCTTTCCTCTGTCTCTGTCTCTGTTTCTGTGTCTCTCTTCTCTGCATCTGGTCTCTGCCACTCACCGGGGCCGGATCCAGGGGCCAGGGGCTGGAAAGGGAGATGCGGTACGTAACCAGGCGACCTAGTCAAGGTAAGGTAGACCGTAGACCGTAGACCATAGTGTAAGGTACTGCGTACTGCGCACTACGCACCTAGAGAGCTCTCTCAGACTCCCACTCCCAAGCTGCACAGCTCCTCCAGCTCCCAGTCAACACACGCCTCCGCCCACGCCCACTCCTGCAGCCCACGCCTATCCATTGGAAGAAATGCCATTCAAGCTGTCGTCGTTGTCGTCCTCGCAGTACGGATACTTCGTAGACCATAGCCGAGATGCACAGTACTGTACGTGAGTACGTACTAACTTCCTCTTGCTTCCTCTTAGACGATCCACCAAGAAACCCTCCCCCCACAATGACTCGTCGTTTCCCATTGGGAACGCGACGCGCGCATCTGTGGATGGCAAGACTCAAGAGAGGAGCTGCCCGATAGCACCGGTGCATTAAGACCGTCGGGGCATATTGGAGAAGAGGACCGAAAAAGTAAGCCGTTAACTCTAGTAACTCAAACTCTCACCCAATGGCGGGCCGGGGACGAGACAAAGAGGCCGAAAAACGCTTGCCAATCTCCTCAGCTCTCCTCTTTCTTCACTCTCACTCTCACTCTCTCACTCATCCTTCATCCGAATATCAAGGAGATAAGGAGCCAATTTAGAGAAATGACCGAGAAACCAGGCAGAAACCTTCGTTCCGGCTTAGCCATGAAGAAAAGAGCGAGAAAATGAGAGAGACAGCAGGAGGAGACATGTTTCGCGGTTTCGGGGCCAAGTCCGCCTTCCCTGTTTCCCAACCCCCCCCCTCCAAAGCCCGCCAACCCGTACTCAATCTCTCACTTCTTCAGCGCACAACAGCAGCAGTTGCAGCACCAGCAGACGCAGTATGCGTAGCCTGTAGGTACAATGCTGATACTTCGGACACCGAGAGAGAATGAGAGGAGGACAGGTACGGAGTACAGCCAGGGCTTACAGAGGAGGACCTCCGCGGAAAGAGACCTTGAAGCTGTCTGTCTGCAAAGCCATTACTAGCGAAAGACCTTCGCCTTCAGGGACAAGGGCCCTGCGAGTGGAAAGGGAAGGGGAAGGGGGGGGGGGGGTCGCCCGAGAAAGTCTTTGCCAAGAACCAAACCTCCGGCAGGGGTGGGAGAGCATCCGCACCCGAAGGCAAAAAAAGGGATGCGGGCCTACTGCAGGCCCATGGTCGCCGGGGTCCCCCCCTTGGCTCCGAGCTGGCCGCTTCTGGGGCACACACCTTTTCTTCTCAGTGTCTCTTCTTCTCCCACTCTGCCCCTCTGCTCGAGGTACGTAACTTGTCTCCCTGCTCGCTCTCTGTCTCCTCCACCGCAAACTGAGGAAAAAAGAAGACCATTTCTTACCCCCCCTGACCACCGTCGTGGTGGTTGTCTGCTCAGTGCTGCCGACCCATCCCAGGCCTGGGATAAGGTATTAGGTAGGGTTGTCCAAGAGAATGGAGACGGCATGAGAAGCCGCAGTGACAGGTAGCGAAGGTGGTGGGGTGAAGAGCGAGGATGGTGTGTCATGTTGCATGTGTCGACCTGATGCTCCCTTTTTCGATGCTCGTTCTATCGATGTGTGTACGGAGTAATAAGAGCATAACTCATGAGGGAGTATTGGCATACTGGAGGATGGTGGATGGATGACATGTTGTAAGCTTTGCGACTGACGTAGTGTGCCTCAGTCAAGCCCGTGAAGCTAGTGATCAAGCCGTCTCGAAAGGACTGGAGGCGGAAGATGACAGTCCAAGTAAACATCTGCAGCTCAGGCCGAATCGAGGAGGCTGTCCTGGTGTGAAGATTCTGTCCTGCCGCCTGCCACCTTTTGCGCTGCATGGTCGCACAAACTCGGTGGGGAGGGACGAGATATGTTGCAGCCGCAGAGGAGAGATTTGGCCCCGGCTCGTCACAAAGTGTAGATTCCGGCAAGGTATCGATCGAATCCTTCACTGACTGGCCACCGCCTTACTCGATTCTGAAATGCGTATCGACCTTCTCCTCTCAACCCACACTTTGTTGGAAGGGCTCTGCCCACAAAACTCTTGGGAGTCGGGACTTATGCCCTGTGTCTGTTGCCGCCACAATCCGATTGCCTGCCAAAACTGAGTGGCTCATCTCCTCCCCACTTCGTTGTGCAGAACTGTACTCTGTACGGATACCGCAAGCTTTTAGAGTTTGACCAGGAATCTGCAGACGTGTGGCATCGTCATGTCATGTCAGCGCTGCCAAATCGCAGCCGGCCTTCGCTACGCAGCGTAATGCTTCTTCCTTGCGTCGCATCCTCGTCGTTCAGCCCGTCTATCGATGCAAGCTTGTCGCAGCTGCACTAGACTGCATCCCGCATGCCAGATGACAGACAAGAAAGCTTCTTGTCCTTGTTTGATCGTGATCCGCCTTCCCCGTGGAGTAGCGTAACTTCGCGGCGTCTTCTAGTTGTCCAAGCCGATGTGCTACGTAAATCCTTTCACGCCTTTCAAGTTTCCGGGCGTCCCTTGACTCTTGAGTCGTCTCATGGTTTATTGCCCCAGTCTTAAGCTCTGCAAAGCCTCGAGGCCGCGTCGGTAACCCATTGGAAAGCGGCTCTTGTTGACGAAGCATATTTCCATCAGCCCGCAACGGAAGGAAATTTTATCGTGACAGGTCTCGTACCCAGCAAACAAGCATCTAGGTTATTGACGCCCGGCAGCTGCACGCCCACATTCCAAGCTCTTATGGAGAAGGCTTGTCCCTGAGCTTGAGCTTGAAATAGAAAGAAAGATTAGGGTAAAGGAAAAAAGAAGACGAAAAAGCGCTCACGAGCTTACCAATGGTCCCCTCATGTGCCCCTCCTGATCTCCATCTGTAGTTGTCAAGATGTCAGTGCCGTACGTACCGCTTCGACGACTGCAATGCTGTCGTCAACTTCGCAGGTGGAGGCTTCGCCCCTCATATGAACATGGCCCCTCCATGTCTGGTTACATTCAAACACATCAATCACCGGGTGTCTGTGGCAGCATACTCCGCCAAACGCGTGGTCTCGACAAGAGCCGTCAACTACAGCTGCATGCCGTAGTTACATCTGCCAAACCATTGCAGTGCAAATGGAGAGGCCACAGTCCAGGCTTGGGTCAGGCCAACCGTAGCCGACGCTGTGTTTTTTGCCCACTTGAGCCCGCGGTGCTGACCGCCCTGGTATCTCGTCCCTAGCTCTCTTATCACTGGGCTGGTCTGGTTGCAAGCCCCTGCTCGTTGGAGACTTGCCGACATTGTTAGCCCCCAAGAAACAAACTCGATTGCTCTCCCC